CAAACCTTACGAAAAAAATTGAAAAAATGTCTGCTTTATGCATATTGGGTACACCTACAAGTTAATTTCAATATTTTGTTTATGCCTTGTGAGAAATTTTTGTTTGCTGTAGTGAATCATTTCGACAAGTGGAAGTGCATGTATTAAAAAAAAAGTTAAGGGAACGTATTCTCTTTCATACCAAAAGCAATGTTTAACTCATCTGAAGTTCATAAAATAAGAATATATTAAAAATGGTTTTAATTTACGTTTTTAGTACTATTTTTTAAACAAAGCGGAATATTTATTATTTGCCAAAAAAATAACAAACATCGTTAAAACGACTTTAAATAAGAAATTAATTGCAAATGCCTATTTGTGTTTTAGAAAACTTTTTCTCGTTTCTTTTATCTCATGTCAAAGTAGTTAAAAAAAATGTTTGCATTTCCCCATAAAATACAGAAATCTCACTCAAACTGCTAACTGCTATCGTTAAAAAAAAAAGAAAAATCAAATCGCATCACTGAAATAACATTTCGAGCGATTGGCCTTTGTTCTTTTACTAAATAACTATAAGTATGTATGTATTTTTGTCGCAGCAATATTGACATTGCTGCAACAGCGAACTTTTTCCTCTTAACTTCCAAAAACTTTAGAGGATCTCGGCAGTCACTACATATAAATTTTTTGCAAATCTGTTATTGAGTACTAATTACAGCTTTTCCGATATATACAAATAAAAAAAATGTACGGAGATAATACGGATAATAATCTATAAACAAGAGATGACATAAGCTACCATTTGCTTTAAATCAAAACTAAGATTAGTTGTCGACGCCGCTACTAAGATTAGTAATTATCGCTGGCTGAAGAAAAAACTATGTACCTACATATGTATGATGTACAAGCACAAAAAAGGTCTATACTAGTCAATGTATTATCTCATCAAAGAACAAAAACAAAATGTTTGCTTAGGCTTTCCTGAGGATTAGTGTATTAATGAATTTTACCGTTTGAAATATTTTTTGTGAGGTCATATCCTTTTGCATCATTTTACACATTCGCATTCGACATTCGCATTCGCATTCGCATTCGCATTCGCATCAAATGATACGAATGTTTCGGATGTGTACATGGGCAGACAGTCCACTCTAATATTGTTAAAATGGCTCTAAGGGCCAAATTCACAGTGCGTATAAAGTGTCCGTACAAAAATCTGTAGTTTACAGCCGATTCTAAGTTAACTACGCACTGTGAATTTGGCCCTAACTAGGTTGCGGACAATAACCGGCTTTTAGCTTTACGCGCTAAACGGTTGAATAGTATATCAAGCGAATTGATGGGCCTTCAATAAGTACTGCTAAAAGCCTTATAAGCAACCTAGAAATAATTTTAGATTCCTCTAGCGAAAGCGAAGGCTTGGGTGTAGAATTCGGAGACTTAAAAAATTTGAAATTAAAGCTCAATTAAAGGCCTATCTTAAAGAAAAATAAAAAATAAACATAATATGCAAACAATATCATTTTGCATCTCGTTTCTAATTAGTTGAACGCAGGTCTACATACATATCGTCGCCTGGGTAAAAGATTGTCTAATGTTACGCACGTACGTATGACGCTTACGACAATCTTACCCAGGCGACGATATGTATGTTCAACCTTACAAGCCAACAAAAAAAAGTTCGCCGTACTCAGGGTTGCTTTACAATAGTGGTCCAATAGTAAGCCTTAGGGAGTACTCTTTACATGCGTGCATGGAGTAGTCGCGTTTTAGTATCTTCTTGTATTGCTTACCCTTCTTGCTGTTGCCTGACAAAAGAATTCAAAAGGCGATGCTGTGATGCTCTAAGATCAGGTCATTGCTACCCTTTTAATTTTGTGCTTTGCTTGTTTTCTTTTTGTACCTTTGCCCTTCACGGTTTGCTCGCTTGTTTTTATTGCAGGTACTCGGAGTGTAATGCTTAATGATTGCAGGTTGAGGAAGGAAGCATTTGTGAAATTAACGAAGTATTCGGCAGGCGAACTTTGCACGACAAAACAAAATTATATGCACATCATTCCTTTTTAGTTTTAAGCAGAGGATTATGTTACTTATTTATGATGTAAATAATTATTTAAGTGTTTATTATGCTCATGTGTGGGTATTTTTTTGTTTTCTTTTCTTTTTTTTTGCATCTTAATTACTTTCGAACGCACAGTGGCCACTTAATTATAAAACCGGCCGCCGGCAGTAGTTTCAAGGTCATAGTTCCTCGTACAGATTTAAACATTATTTTAATTTGTCGCCCATCTTTTACTTGAATATGTACTACATATTTATACAATTATGTAGAATGTTTACAGAATTCGGATTTCGTTCATGCATTTCAAGCCATGTGGGTTTGATAATTTCGCCATAAATTTATCGTGTTTCAAGTTATTTGAGGCTTCAATACAACACCATCAAACAGAATTTCGTCATACTGTTGTTACTTGTGGCAATAAATTTTCTCATTGTGTAATTTTTTGCTTTTTTTTTTGTAGATATAAACGGACCCTGTTCGGTGTCGAACTGAATTTGACTTTGTGGAAAGGTCACAGACAGTTTGAAGTACATTTTACGTGCCCTTTCAATGAAGAAAATCAAGTCCAATTAAATTTTTTCGAATTGCTTTCGAATTTGGTACGCATACGCGCTGCTGAAAAGTAATAATTTCACATATTTACTTGCGCTCTTATCACTATGAATGTCTGTTTTTTTTATTTAAATAGGAAATTGAAGCAAAACTGGCATGTACTTGACACGCTTCTTTCGTTTTGTCCTCATGGACCCATTCAACTAAGTCTCGTGATTTGTTTAACTTTTCTTTTTTACGATTTTTATTTTTTTTTTGATTTCGAATCATTCTAAAAAAATTGAAGTCGTTTGAGAATGAATCGAAATAAAAAAAATCTATACATCCATACATATAATAAAATTGTAACTGGTCGATGTCTGTACAATTATAGATTTTAAAGAAAAATTTGTATAAAACATTTTTTAGAATTTTTGTCCATCTGTCTGTATGTTACTCCAAAACTAATACATGGAATTGAATGCAGTTTTCGGCGATGTATTGCTAGAGATTTAACTTAAAATTTAGAAAGAAAAAAAATTAGAGAGTTGCCAGCTGTTTGAAAATTGCAGTCTTAGTAAATTGATAAGATAAAGTAAATGCTGCAATATGGCTGTCAAAAGAAAGAGATCTAAGAAGGCTTAAAATCGAAAATATTTTTGTTGAAGGTTGCCACCTGTTTGAAATTTTTATATTACTTTAATTGATAAGATAAATTGAATTTTGCAATATGGGTATCAAAGTGAACAGGTTTAGGAGAGTTTACTGCCGAAAATATTTTTGAGGAGGGTTGCCACCTGTTTGAAAAAATTGTATACAATAAAAATGATAAAATGAATGTAATATTACAATATTGGTAACAAGCAGCACAAAAATACGTTTAAGGCGAAGTGAAAATAGGCTAGGAATAAACAAGAATATGACAATATAACAAAAACCACCGATACAAAATTAGCTGAAGTGAAAAATTAAAAAAATGCAGTTACAATTACAAGCAGTTAGCATAAGATAAAACATAAAATAAAGTAAAATAAAATAAAAAATGAGAGATATGTAGATAAGAAGCACTATATAACTATTTACTGAACAGCGATCGCCATAACAAATAAACACGGATTAGCTAACCACAAGATAATAACAAAATTAGTGCGAATTTAGTTTAGTTAGTTTGTTTCGTTGCCATTGCGTTCCGTTGTTTGTAAACCATTGTGATAACTGAAATAATAAACAAGCAAAGAGAATAGGGCAGCCATATTTGTTTCATTACACAATCATTCCACCTTGACAAATACCAGTACAGAGGAGTACAGCAAACAACTACAACCATAGTATCGGAATATACACACACCGATTAAATTTGTGTTGTATCTGTAATTGCATGCAGTTGTTGACATTATTGTATGTGTTGTCCGTCCACCACCAATCAATTCTGCCTACATACATTTGTACCTACATACATACAATTTCGATGTACAGTTGTTTTTGTAACTTTGTATACGCTCTCGTACTGTACACATACGAGACACCCCGACACTGTCTATCCAAATACATACTTGTATAATGATTTTCACTTTGCATCGGGCAACCTCGGCAGTAGTACACAAAGACCCAGATAGCCGAGGCAGCGTTGCCACAGTCAAACAAAAAAATTAACCAATTTATTTAACAATTTGATCCGGAATTTTTGATTCTTAAGCTCTATCTTTAAGAAGTCGGTTAAGAATATTAAATTCCAAAAAAGGAGGTTATCAGTTCGTCGGAATATTTTTTTTTTTATGTATGCATAACTTTGGACCGCGTAGGAAAAGGTAGTGTCTCAGAGGCGGTCCCATACTAATCTGGTTTAGATAGCGAACACAAAACACCAATATGTAAATCACCATTCTACGTACTAAAACAGTCGTTATTTTAATTACTGCTGCAACTCTCTTTATAATCGAAAGGTTGCGCAAGGTACTCTTTCCTTCCCAGCTGTCACAAATGACAAAATAGTCTTCCGCGATTAGTGGCTTGGGCTATATTTATCTTAATGTTCCTATTGGAGCATCACAGCACTTTAGGCGAGGAGTTTTAGAGAATGCTGTCTTGGCCAGAAATCTAAACCGTTCCGATGACGTAAATCATCGGGCCTGTCATGGGATGTGACTCATGTCCAGGCTTATTTCAAAATTTTATTTAACCCTTCCTGTAGCAACGATTTCCTGAAGAAATGAGGTCATTTTAATTTTGAGACTACCACTTCGTGATTAAAGATCTCCGAGTACTAAATTCAGATTCGATAATGAAATCAACCACTTTTTCTCTTTTTTTTTTTTAACAAAACGGCAACACCAAAACGAACACTGGCTGCAGCGCACCCGACTGGCCTTTGCTTGTGTATAGTCCATGGCCAGAAGATTTCGTTTTCAGTTCGTTCGATGCGAAAGAAATTCGTGACTGGCTGCAGCTAAATTTGCGTCCAAATGAAGGCTCTGACTCAAGCTGATTTAGTTTATGTTTGGCAACAATTGAATAAAGTTCCAGCCGTTTTTCTACTCTTGTCTTCGTGTAGTCTATGTATATGTTAAGCGTGAGATCAATCTAAGGAAAACACACACACACACACAAAAAAAAAGTGTCTAAGCATTTAACAAAATAAAATAACTAAATAAATGTTTTAATGGCGCGTTAATATTCGGTTTTATAATTCAACTACAGATTTTTAAGCTTTAAAAATGTTTTAAACGCTTCACAAAAGCAAAATGAAAAACACTTTGTAGATTCGTAATTGCGAATACTCGGTTGTAAGATGAACGAATCGTCATGAAAAATCGATAGCTCCAGAAAAACTTTATTGCGTTTGCAAGAAAAATAAACTGTTTGTAAGGGCGACACAAAAAACGCAAGCAAAATGTTTACGTGAAGCAAGAAAATAAAAATTCTTTGTTTCACCAACCACATATTGAAGAACTGAGTGGTGTAGCGAAAATTATTTCCATATTGAAAAGAAAACACCAGTAAAAATAAACAAAAAAAAAACAATTGCATTTCGTCACTCGTATTTTTTGCGAAAGTTGAAATTTTTTGTGATAACTTTGTAAAAGTACAAATTAGTGGTAGAAAAGAAGAGAGCTCTTAGACTAAATGTCAAACGTAGATTAAATGTTAAGTAACACACAACAACGTTACAATAAGTACCAACAACAATTTTTTAGTGCAATAGCAAAATTTTTTCTACACAATTGATAATAAACAAAAAAATTATAAAAATAATAATAATAAAACTTAACTAACTGACACAACATTCCTGCGCAACATAAACAAACAAAATGGCTGTCGAAATGTAAGCATACACACTTAGATAATTGAATAAATTAAACTTATATTTATGTATGTAGATACAAATATTGTTAAAATTGCAAAGCTCAAAAATGTTATTTTTTTTTGTGTTTTTTTGTTTTTATTCCACAATTCTGCTGGCTCACAAGAGCTGTCTGTGCAACTTTTGTATAAACTGTAGCCTCAATTTGTAGTTTTCTCTTCATATCCATGGGTTGAATAGTCTTTCAGGAAACTTCTGTACATTTGAAAAAGATTAGCATAAAAAATTTCTATGTTGCTTTATTAACGGAATACATATTTGTTTTTTGTATGTATTTTCTGCACAAATACGACGTTAGTTTTTTATATCCAGTTGGAGTACAGCATAATTTAACTCTTCTCTATTGGCACAATGGAGTAGCGAATCGCTAACTCCTAGGTCCAACGAAAAAGCATGTGGAAAAAATTGAAATCTATAGCGAAAAAGTTTCTACACTACAGAGCTTTGTTGGTTGATTGCTGCTGGTATTTGTGCGTGGTGGGTTAGTGTAGTGGTGGTGGTGTATTGCATTGGATGAATGTGGGGCTGTGTTGGTACTTTGACACTTGCCTGTATTGCATTTGTTTCAATTACCAACGCGTTCACACACAGCTGAGTTCAAATGTAAAAAGTCCGAATGAAAATAATAAATTGAATAAAAATTGACCAAGCGTTGTGTAGAAATGATTTTTTGTTAAATTTATTGCCATAAGAAATTTACTTGAAAAAAACTTAAGCTTAAGAGGCTAAAATTTCTTCTTTGTCGGGGTTTTCAGTAGGCTTTCGTAGATACATACATATGTGTTCACTATTCCTTTAGTTATACTTTATTGCAGCTATTTGGGGCCATTGTAAAAATGCCCAAATTCCATGTACTTGTATAAGTAGCTAATTATTTTAGGCATGTATCTAAGTAGATACTCCTTTTTTAGAACATTTCATTCGATTAATTTTATTTTTTGTTTTACATATGTACATGTATCAAAAAAAAAAAAAATGCAACTTTCCATACAAACAACAAATCGACCAATACTTAAAAATCTGTCTCGCACTACCCGCATTCCGCTCCCACTCGTTTCATGCAAACTCACAACTACCAATGCAAATAACAGCTGCCATCGATTCCATTAAGTTGCTCACTACGCTTTGCATTGGCGTTCCACTAAATTGGTCAGGCCGCAGTGCTCGGACTTCGCCACTTTATTGTTTGATTTATCAACTTTTTAGCTGTATTATATTTTCTAACATTTTTACCAACAAAGTCAAAAAATCTACCAATATTTTGCCGAAAGAAAGCAAGAAGATTTAAATGAACATACATATTTTGTCAGCGAGCACACACCTTAAATAAAAACGAAAAGTTAACTTTGTCGGAGAATAATTATTTGAGTCTGCCTCCTATGAAATTAATACAGGGCCGGAATTAGGGCATCCGTGATTGAACCAAATTTTGTACGAAATTTCTTTTTGAGCATTCGGTAGTTAATTGGATTTTTCAATTCAATTTCAACAGCTATCATTTTATTTCATTCGATTCGAATCGACTTTCATTCGTCGATAACGGATGCCGTGATGCGGGCCCAGTTTAGGTTTTTTGTTGAATATATTTTCCATGTGAAATAGATTTTTGGTGTTAAATTTTACGCACAATGCGAGTAATAATTATAGCAAATACATCTTTTTGACATTAAGAACCATGGAGGCGAACATCCCGCAGTTCAGGTAACACCACCTTTTATGAATTCGCCATGTTTTATCCTATTTGAGTAAAAACTATCTGATATTGCTGCTTTTAAAAAATCTACCAACTTCTACCATTTTTTGTATATACATAAAATCTACCAACATTAATTTTATTTCTTCGAAGTCCGTGCACTGGCCCAGACCAGACCATTTCCATTTTGTTTCCACACACACCAAATTTCTTTGTTTGATTTAATTTTCGTTTCGTTCCTTGCCAGCTGTTTCAGCAGCTACATACTCGGTATCTTCAGCGTCGTTAAATACATTTAAATGTAAAAATTCTATTAATTTTTTAGTCATCTATAAAATTTTGGTTGTTGTATGTATGCTTCTATTGAAGATTGATTTTTTCATAGGCTTTGTTTATTATACCCGAGCGCACTTGTGCACAAGGGTATATTAATTTTGTTCACATAACGGTTGTTTGTAACAGCCAAAACGAATCGAGATAGATATAGACAAATGTATACATAAATGATCAGGATGAAAAAAGAAATCGATTAAGCCATGTCTGTCTGTCCGTCCGTCTGTCCGTCTGTCCGTCTGTCCGTCTGTCCGTCTGTCCGTCTGTCCGTGTACACGATAACTCGAGCAAAAATTGAGATATCTCAACGAAATTTGGTATGTAGATTTCCCTTAATCCAAGGTAGGTTGGTATTGAAAATGGCCGAAATCGGACTTTAACCACGCCCACTTCCCATATAACGGTAATTTCCAGAAATACGAAAACTGCGATATTTTAGTAACTACTGAAGATAATTCACTCAAAATTGATATTTACAATAATTTTTAGACGAAAAATAAGAATATTATACATTTTTGGAAAATGGGCGTAGCCACGCCCACTTATGGTTACATGTGTATATCTTGGTAACCGCTGCACCAATTTCTTCCAAACTTGGCACAGTTGTTGGCCTTCACATAACATACCAAATGGCCGAAAATTTTTAAAATCGCTCAATAACCACGCCTACTTCCCATATGACGGTAATTTTCAGAAATACGAAAACTGCAATATTTTAGTAACTACTGGAGATTATTCACTCAAAATTGATATTTATAATAAGTTTTAGACGAAAAATAAGAATATTATAAATTTTTGGAAAATGGGCGTAGCCACGCCCACTTATGGTTACATGTGTATATCTTGGTAACCGCTACACCAATTTCTTCCAAACTTGGCACAGTTGTTGGCCTTGGTACAGCATAAAAAACCGCCGAAACTTTTTAAAATCGGACAATAACCACGCCCACATCCCATATAACGGTAATTTAGAGAAATACAAAATCTTCGATAAATCATTAAATATTGAAGCTAATTTTTTCAAAATTGATGCTTGCAACAATTCTTTACCAAGAAATACGTTTATGGTAAAATTTTGGAAAATGGGAGTGGCACCGCCCACTTATGATCACATATAAGTATACCGGTAACCGTTCTACCAATTTGTACCAAACTCGGTATGGTTATTGTACTTGCCACGTGTAAGCAAAACGTTGAAAATTATTGAAATCGGACTAATATAACGGCCGATTCTCACATAACGGTAAATTTAAGAAATGCTTGAAACTTAAATATTTCGAAATTGAAGGACGCTAATTTACTCAAAATTGTTACAACTCGGCTTACCATCTAGCGGAAGGTTTCGGAAGGGTGAAAAAACATATATTTAATACTTGCGCCGGGTATTTAATGTTCGGCTCCGCCCGAACTTAGCCTTTCTTACTTGTTTTTATTTTGTTTTAGTATATTCGCGCGCAACACACACTAATTTGAGTTCGAAATACACAGAAACATACAGAACCACAAAAGAGAAGAAACAAAAATTTATTCAGGTTTTGTTTAAGCATTGCGTCAGCCGATCTCTCTCAGTTGTACCTACATATAAAATTGTTTTTTTTTTTTTCTTTTTATATACCTACTCATCTACATATGTACATACATATACCCTTTGATGTGCACGCACATCGAACTTGGGCATTTGAATGTCTATTACTTTTATACGGTGTTTACATGAGGCAACAATCGCCTGGTGTGAACGGTCTTTCCACTAATGGCTTCCAATGCAGTTGGGGCGCAGCCAATTTTGGATTCAACGAATCGCCTCTAAAATTGCCTGAAAAATCGCCTCATGTGAACACCGTTTTAGCTTTAAGCTCTTTAAATTTTTTTATTCGAAAAAAGTGTTGTTAGGGTTTGTAGATAGTTGCTGATAAGTCATTTTTGCAATCTTTCGAAGCTTTAAGGTATCTTTGTTGCTGTAACTGTAAATACTCACACTTTGCTGAAATGTCTGTAATATTGTTTGACCCACATTACATACACTTACCAAGTAAATAGATAAGCCTTTGAAGTAAGTAAACAGTAGAACGCCTTTATCAATGTCCCAATCTGTTAACGAATTTGGTCACGCGTTTGCCTGTGGGCAGCTTGTTAGGTTTTTGTCTATCTCTTAAAGTGTTTGTGTTTCAAATTTTACTGTCAGACATTTTTTCCTTATGATTAGCGCAGTTTTTCTTAGTAGTATTGCCATAAAACGTTCAAAATGTTGTCTGCCTTTGCTTAGCTATACTTTCTGCTAAAAAAAATTTAATTAAATGATTATAGCAAATCGTTGGCTGAGTAGAAGATCGACCTATCCCGGCAGCCTGTTCGTAAACGCCCTATCTCAGAAAACTTTTCAAGAACGCCCTACTTAAGAATTTGATTGAAGAACATCCTAACTCAGAACTCGGTTCAAAAACGCCCTATCTAAAACGAAAATACATTGAAAATAAACTGAGCCAAATTCTGAGATACGGCGTTTTTCAATCAAATTCTGAGATAGGGCGTTCTTGAAAAGTCTTCTGAGATAAGCCTTGTTGAAAAATTTTCTGAGATAGGGGGGATGATATGTAGATCGATCTTCACCGCAGCCATCGAAATAAACTTCGCCCAAGTTTTTACGTACGTACTTTTTCTAGGTCATTTGTTTAACCAAATTTCGTCATTTGCTGCTTGATTTTAGCCATGCAATATTTTATTTCATATATGTTGATACATACTATGTATGAATGTAGGTACATTAGTGTGCTTCGCCAAAGAAAGTTGCGGTACCAAAATTATAAATTTTTTTTGTGTTCTAAGACTTCTGCCAAAATATTTCAGAAAAGTATTGAGGTTTACGTCAGCTGTAGCGATTTGGAAATAACTCCAAAAATTTATTTTGTTATACATATGTATCTAAACAAGATTAGGA